AACCATGTTGCCACTCGTAATTAGTATTGGCCATGGCCTAAGGATTTTTGTAATTAATATGGAGTTAATTTGAGATAAACTGGAACCGTGCATGCAGTTGCACATTGTGAGAATCCGGAATTAAAATACCAAATTCATTGTATTTAGTGGTATGATATCATATATTGACAAGATCGCCTAGTAACAGCAGCTATAGACGGTTTTGCATTAGAGGACTGCCCAAAGTTGAGCTATATAAGTGACTTCAAACTGAATTATGGACTGACTCCCCCGCCCCCCCCCCCCACACACACACGCGCCAACAAATCAAAACAAAAGCCCTGAATTGTGGTGGTGCAGAGTGAGTTGTAGTGTGCAGACCCACACCTCCTTACTGATATGATAGGAGCAGGGGCGGATCTATAGGGGAGAAAGGGGGGGGCTTAGCTGGTGCATCAATGAAAATATGGAGAGGGTGAGGGAGAAGAAGAGGTGAAGGAAAAAAAAAGAAAAATAGAGAGAGAGGAAGAAGAAGAGACCAGCCCTCTTTCAATACTGTTCTGCATCCGTCACCACTGGATAGGAGTTCTATGTAAGTTGATGTCCTCGGTGCATCATGATATCATCATCACACATCACAGCCCAGGAAGGAGGCCAGCTAGAGGCAGAAATAGAATGGTGACGTCAGGAGCAGTCCAAATCAATCTAGGTGTGTTTGGTTGCTGACTGGTCCAACGCCTACTAATTAATCCGCTTGTTAACCTTCAAGCCAGGGCAGAGTTTTTGGTAAAACCCGCGCATGGTCAAACCAAATTAGTCTCTAATCCTGTCGTGACGGGAACAAATAAATCTGAGCAAGCCAAGCCAAGCCAAACAACGACACCGCACCAGCTAGACTGGACGTACGCCTGGCCCGGTCGCCATCTCCCCGTGTACATGCATTCTGACGAAACGGAGACGGCGACGGCCCACGCCCGCGCTGCGTCTTTCCTCCGGACGGGCCGGTCTGCCGGAGAAGGCACGGCAGATCGACCGCGCGATGACGACGGAAACGGACACCCTTCGGCCCGGCCGTCCGATCAAGCGATTCGACGTGCGGCCCGGTGAGGAGCGGCAGCTGCGAACAGCTGGTCGCTCAGGGTACGGTGGTGTCAGCTGTCAACTTTTTTGTTTTTTTTGTTTTTACGTGTTTGTTGCACGGACTAAATTTTAGTCTACGTAATGTTCGCATACTAATTAGGAAGACTAAACTGAGTTAATTATAAAATTAATTACATAGATGGAGACTAATTTATGAGACGAATTTATTAAGCTTAATCAATTCATCATTAACACATATTACTGTAGCGTTATAGTGTCAAATTATGGACTAATTAGGATTAAAAAATTCGTCTCGTAAATTAATCTCAATCTATATAGTTAGTTTCATAATTAATCTATATTTAATACTCTGTACATGTATCAAACATCCCAACCCGTGAAACCAAACACACACTCCGGCCGGCTGGGCCAGCTGGTGATAGACGCCTACACGGAGGCGGCCGCTAGCTTGGTGCGTGCAGCCGTCCCTTTCGTGACTGCGCCTCTCGCTTTCGCACCAAGTGAAACCACGCCTCCAATTTCTTTTCTCTCACACGCGTGTACATACTACGTGCTCTATCGTCTTTTGAAGCTCTTGGTTATTATAGCGCGCGCTTTCGGAGAAATTGAGTGGCATTATATGCTAAAATGCTAGTATATATGTGTGTTTTTAATTCCCGCGTCTTCCTCACATCCAAAGCACAGGTATATGGCCAGCTTATCTCACGGAGCTATGGTACCACTGTGTATGGGTGGGCAAGGGTTCGAAGGTTTTCTCGATCTGCGTGAGAAGATCTTCTTTTTAAGTCAGAATACTGGGACTGTCTAGTCACCATGGATCGAGTTTTATTTCTAGATCCCTAGGTATTTGTAAAAGAGGTGGCTTTCCAATAATACCCACTTCAAAATTATGAGATGTTTTGACTTTTTAAATTTGTAGTTTGTTATGCACTTAGATATATACACTATGTCTAGATTTATATTAAAAATAATATATCGAAAAAGACAAAACATATTATAGGTTGGAAAGAAGGGTGTATTGTATAGATAGACGAACAAATATTACGTAGGTCAACTAACTTTCAAAAGAGAAAAAATAAATATACTTTAACTTTGTGATAGATAGTGATAGGTTTTTAGTTTAAAAGCTGGCTTTTCTAGGTTTTTACTTGTAACTGTTGTTTTTTGCTATTAGCTTTTGTAATAAATTTTGAGCTTCTAGGCACAGCAAAAGCCAGAAAAGCTTTTCGGAAGATGTTTTCAAACTTTTAGTTTATTTCCTTAGAAGCTAGTTTTCTAACTTTTCAAAAGTCAAATCTCAACAGATGGATTGTTTGTTTTAGCTTCTGGATTTTGGCTAGCAAGAGCCAGATAAATGCTAAAATAAACAGGGAATAACCAGAGTGTTCTCGGAAGGAGAAAATTTGGCTTTAATTAGGCACCATGGTTGCTTAGCACACTTGTGTGGTCTAATAAATTAATAGCTTTCCAAAGGATTGACTAAGCTTTAGATGATACTTTAGATCGCCGCCTGTTTTGAAGCTTCAAGAGCTAAACTTTAGACCATAGGATCCAAACATGGCCTAAGTGTGTACGAGACCAAGAACAAGATTGTCAAAGCATCCCGTTTTGTATTCTAAAATTTTATGATACTATATGATCCTATCAAATTGAAACAATACCCATCTACTATATATGTCAAATTTTATAGTATCCTCATCCTATGTAAAGATTTCACACGATTTGTCAAATTTTATATAGTATACCGATACTATGCTCCAACGATATTATACAACAATTAATACAATTTTTTGAATGATTTAGTTGTGATAAATACTATTTAAGGTAGGTGCCATCGAAAATAATACCAAGATTTACATTTAAATGTAAAAAAGACAAATAGATTAATCAAATTAATATTATAGATTTAAATTTGTCCAAATATTATAGATCTTATATAAAATATAGTCCACAAAAGAATATAATCATAGGACCCGTGCCGATCAAACTAGGTCAAGCTTGACCAAGTTGATAGTAGTAAATAATATTAGTATTTATGTCTCCAAATAATTTTATTGTGAAAATATATTCTATAACTAATCTAATGATACTTATTTTGTATCATGAATGTTACGTAAACTTAGTCAAAATTCAAATTGTTTAACTTCCCGGAACGCAAGAATTATATTTTTTTTACATGAGGGAGTAATTTATTATAAAATAGGATCCCATGTTGTCCGCGAGAAAACCACATGTGCCGATCTGCTTACGTGGGCGGCTCGCGATTTCCCACGCCCCGACCGACGAAATCAGTATAATTACCGCCCCTCCCTTCTCCCCTTCCTCGGCCACCCTTCACTTGTCTAGCTTCTTGCTGCCTGCGTGCTCCCGCTCTGTGCTTGTGTGCGTGAAGTGGGTAATCAGCAATGAGAGCGCTAGGGGGAAGGCTTGCTTGGGCATGGCTGGCGGTACTGGTACTGCTGGTGGTGGTGGTGGTGCAGCTGGCTGGGGCCTCTCATGTCGTCTACGAGGAAGAGAAACTCGAGGTGATGGAGGCGGCGGCAGTGCCGCCGTCCATCGTCCACCCGCTGCTGAGAACCGGCTACCACTTCCAGCCCCCCAAGAACTGGATCAATGGTAGTGTAAACTTTTCCATCTTGCTTGTCTTGGTCGAGGTAGAACTTGCCGTGCGTGCATGTTTTGAATTGTTGTGGCCGGGTGTACCACCGCTATAGGACACCTTGTCGTAGCTACTGACTAAAGGAACCAATTGTCACAAGTGTTGTGTTTTTCTTATGCTTGTACACAGGGTGACACGCTACTGCACTAGACAGGTCATGTAGACTAACCAGATACCTTTTTTTATGGCCAATAATATACGTTGAGCATCACCTGAAAAACTCATCAATAACAGGCTATAAGTCTTTTCAGGGTCCTATAAGTTGTCACTTTTAGCCTGAATTAATTAAGCTTGATATAGGTCTGGCAGCTCAGACGACATGCATGTCACAGCAGAAATCACGAGTTGTACACTTAACTGGTTAACTCATCAACTCAACTCTGACAGAAATCACGAGCTCTCTCAGCAGGCAGGAGTATCATATCAGACGCTTTTTCTTGTTGCTTTTCTTTTCCCGATTTAACACAGCTAGTGGTTTCCAAGGGTTAGTTCTAACTCGATTTTATCATCTTCTCGGTGGGCTGCTATTCGCTCTGAATGCGTCGGCGCCGGAAACTTGCAACGCCAGATCCCAACGGTACGTAGACGTTGCCCCACACTAACTGATCTGAGATTATGAAAATTTTGATCCTATGAAACCAATGCATGCAGCTCCGTTCTATTACAAGGGGTGGTACCATTTCTTCTACCAGTACAACCCCAAAGGCGCCGTATGGGGCAACATCGTATGGGCGCACTCGGTCTCACGTGACCTCATCAACTGGGCTGCCCTGAAGCCGGCGATCGAGCCCAGCATCCCGTCCGACGAGTACGGCTGCTGGTCTGGCTCAGCAACCACCATGCCCGACGGCACGCCGGTGATCATGTACACCGGCATCGACCGCCCCAACACCAACTACCAGGTCCAGAACGTGGCGTACCCTCGGAACAAGTCCGACCCGCTGCTCCGCGAGTGGGTGAAGCCGTCCTACAACCCGATCATCGTGCCGGAAGGCGGCATCAACGCGACGCAGTTCCGCGACCCGACCACGGCCTGGCGCGCCGCCGACGGCCACTGGCGGCTGCTCATCGGCAGCGTCACGGGTGCCGCCCGCGGCGTGGCGTACGTGTACCGGAGCCGCGACTTCAGGCGGTGGACGCGGGTGCGGCGGCCGCTGCACTCGGCGGCGGCCACGGGGATGTGGGAGTGCCCCGACTTCTACCCGGTGAGCACGGATGGCCGGCGCGTGGGGCTCGAGACGTCCGTGTCGCCCGGCCCAAGGGTGAAGCACGTGCTCAAGAACAGTCTCGACCTGCGGCGGTACGACTACTACACCGTCGGCACGTACGACCGGAAGGCCGAGCGGTACGTGCCGGATGACCCCGTCGGCGACGAGCACCTCCTGCGGTACGACTACGGCAACTTCTACGCGTCCAAGACGTTCTACGATCCGGCGAAGCGCCGCCGGATCCTGTGGGGTTGGGCTAACGAGTCCGACACCGCCGCCGGCGATGTGGCCAAAGGGTGGGCCGGAATTCAGGTATGTTATGCATGTACACACACTACAACAACTGCTGCCGATCAACGTGTGCAGTGTGCATGCAGTGTGCATTCACATGCCAGTTACCCATCGATCATGCATGTCGTAGATCGAACATCGTAGGCCCAAGTTAAACCACAAGATCTTGACGTAATCGAGCTCTTTTGGTGGTTGTGCTAAAAACATTCTGAGTGTGTGACTGTGTCACGTGTATGAATGGCATCATCGTCAGGCTATTCCAAGGACGGTGTGGCTGGACCCCAGCGGGAAGCAGCTGCTGCAGTGGCCCGTCGAGGAGGTTGAGGCGCTCAGAGGCAAGTCGGTCACTCTCAAGGACAGGGTAATTAGGCCAGGACAGCACGTCGAGGTGACCGGGATACAAGCGGCACAGGTGAGCCGTGTGCTTATTAACACTTGTAATAATCCTTTAATTTTCACTTAGCCGCTCGTATATTTTCATTACCTGGGCAAGCTTGCAAATGTTTTCTTATCACAAAAGGAAAAGCACTGCTAGTGCTACCATTCACTGCCTTCCTGAAAAACTGCTCATCGGATCCTGATTGCCTGATCTTATCCGCCACCAGTGCTCTACAGTCTGCACACACAAGTTGATCCTGCCCAGCATGCTGCACCGCGCCAGCGCCGTGTCGCCTTGTGCATCAATCTATGCCCACAGATTTTCACTGAGCCTTTTGTCCGCGCCCGCCGTCATCTCCACGCACTTGCACGTGTTTTCCCCCAGGTGCAGGCGTGCGGCCGTGCAGGTGGGGTGGGTGGGTCGTGACCTGGACTGGGAACGAAGTACCAACCAAATTAACACGCGCTTCCTATGCGGCTGTGCAGGCGGACGTGGAGGTGAGCTTCGAGGTGTCGCCGTCGGCCCTGGCTGGTGCCGAGCCGCTGGACCCGGCGCTCGCCTACGACGCGGAGAGGCTGTGCGGCGTCAAGCGCGCCGACGTGAAGGGCGGCGCGGGCCCGTTCGGCCTGTGGGTGCTGGCCTCGGCCAACCTTAAGGAGAGGACCGCGGTGTTCTTCAGGGTGTTCAAAGCCGCCGGCAGCAACAAGCCCGTCGTGCTCATGTGCACCGACCCTACCAAGTAAGTGCTGCGCGCAAACCGGCATCAATCTCCCGGCTGGTCTGGTCTTACTACCACGCGTCGGGCATATGGCAAGTGCTGTGGTTACACGTATGTACTTGAGTGCACTAACTAGCACCGGTTTCCTTTTGTTGCTCGTGCACAGGTCGTCTCTGAACCCAAACCTGTACCGCCCGACGTTTGCAGGTTTTGTTGACACGGACATTTCAGATGGGAAGATATCCCTGAGAAGCTTGGTATGCGTACTACTCCGTAGTACAAGTAGACAACAAGTTTCATTTAACAGAAGTCCGCCCTTGTTTTCTTAGCTGTGGCGATTACTTCTTTTCCTGCAGATCGACCGGTCGGTTGTTGAGAGCTTTGGAGCCGGAGGCAAGACCTGCATCCTCTCCAGGGTCTACCCGTCGCTCGCCATCGGCAAGAACGCTCGCCTCTACGTGTTCAACAACGGGAAGGCGGACGTCAGGGTGTCCCGTCTCACCGCATGGGAGATGAAGAAGCCACTCATGAATGGCGCATGAAGTATTATCCTATAGGAGCTTCCATCGTGTCCCAATTTTATATCATAATGAACTAGCAAAATGTCCGTACGCTGCTAATTGCACGTGGTAATAATAATCAGCTAGCTATTTGGGTTGGATTTGACTGGATTTGGTAACTTTAAATCAAATAAATTCCAATACCAATAGTAAATGCTAATGCGATGAATGATTAATCTTATATGAGAAGTTGATAAGAGACTAGCTCAACTTAAATAGTTGGCTATTGTGTTCACCTGCTATGAGTTGAAAAAAAGGTGGAAGGCGTATCACTCGCACGCATTGTCGATGCGAATAGACTAGGAGGATAGGCCATTATCACAACCCAAAGTCATTCCAACTAAAACTTTCAATTAGAACCTCCTCGATGACCTCGTAGAGACCTCTAAACACCCAAGAATCACTTTATCATTCTGCTAGGGAAATTCCTGGTGCTTTCTACTAGGACAAGGACTCCAAATTCGCTAATTAACTTCATCAACTCTCCCGAGTCAACCCAAGTCAACCATGGTCAACCCAAAGTCAACTTCACAAGAAATAATCTCTAGAAGATGCTAATCAACCTTTTTGATCTCTCAAACTGTGTTTAACAATCTCAAGAACATAAGGAATGGCCCCAATGCCAAAGACTCTTTTGCTACATCAAATTCTCAAAATCAGGGAATTGACGGAACGTTCCGTTATATCAGGCGGTCTGTCCGTCAGTTCACTGAATCAGCAGGATTGAGTAGAAAGTAAGTTGTTCTCCACTCCAATGGTGGGACCAGCTTGTCAGCACGAGTTGGTGACTTCCTTCGGTAGAACCAGCCCCATCTCTCACTCACTCTCATTTTCTACCCTCCCTCTCTCTCACAAGAAAAGATGAACAAGGGAAGAACAAGAGAGAGAAACGAACAAGGATGAAGGAAAAGAAAGGAAGCAGGGAAGGATCAAAGGGCAGCAAGGCCAGCATCAAGTCAAGAGCAAGAACATCATCATCTCAATCTTCATCCATGGTTAGCTCAAGAGCTCTCACATCATTTTTCTTGAAATCATCTCTCAAACCCTAGATCTCAATCTCTTCATGCATGGATGAAGCATGGAGCTTGGTGATCTCTCCACCATCTAAAGGGTAAGATCAAAGTCACCACTAGCTCAACCACCTAATGCAACACTTTAATCTCTCTCTAATGAATTTTCATGGATTTTTTGCAAGAGACATCATGAATGGCCAAATCCATCTCTCTATGCTTGGAATCAAGATTGCTCAAGGCCCTTGCTCTGGTTGATATAGAGTCTGCAAATTCTCAGAGCTAAGTTGTCATTGCCCAATCACATGGTTTATCTCTCTTTTATCATGAATAAAATGATTCACAAATCATTAGTTGCACTTGATAACTAGAGCCCGAAACCTAGCTATCACTAGCCTATCCTGTCACCAAAACAAACGTGGAAACATCTCACACATGCATAGTGAACCCAATCCTCAAACTAGATTTGAATCAAACTCAACACGATGAACTTAGGTTCTGTCGACGGATGACGGAGTGTTCGTCACTTTGGACGAAGTGTCCGTCAACACAGCACTTAGCCAAAAATTCACAACCCAACCCTTAGTCCTCACTGTAAATAAATCCACAGAACATCTGTAAATATTCTCGAACTATCCGTCAATAATTAAATATGATTTCTAGAGAACCTGAGAGCACCCATTTCTTTACGAAGAGTCTGTCATTTTGCAGGGGAGACACAGTTCACCCAAAATGCCAAAGTCCCAACTCCACGGAACGTTCTATGGAACATCCAGTGCAGCCACGTACCATCCGTCAAGAGCCACGGAAGGTTCCGTCAATTCACTCAGAGCCCAAGCAGAACTTGTTAGCTTTCCAGAAAAGTATTCATGGACCATCCATCCTCTGACAGAGTATCCATCGAATATTTTGAAATGTTAAAATGTTTAAACCTTGACCATAGGACCCGATCGCCTTAACACCTACCTACACTGTTGCGAGATGGCAAACCAGCGAAGCCCACCTCCCATAATAATGGTAAAATTCAATTTTTCTCCTTCATGCTGCTTTTTGCGATGCGAAGCGAGTGAGAGTCGAGGGTGGCACATACGAGCTCTCGATCTATTCTGATTGAAGGGATAAAGAGGCAAGGGCATATCTGTCATTTCACGTGGTTGTCCATTAAAACCAAATATAATAATAATGAGTTGGGTGTTTGGTAGCATATTTCCCATGATTTTTTATGTCTTTTGGCTAAGACATGTTTTTAGTGGTTTTTAGCAAAAGCCACATTCTAATGATGTCCCATGGCAAATTTTGCCAAGTAGAAAATGTCATTGGCGCTCACTTAAATCAAATTGACAGAAATTAAATGTGGTGGACATTAAATTATGATTGTTTGAGCCAGCTGACAGTAACATTAAGTCAGTAACTTCAAGCTTTGGAGGACAAAGCATAAAAGATTGGACAGAATTGGTGACCCAGAGAAAGAGGAGTGGATGTACCATGAACTAAGGGAAAAGATCATTATATATCACTCCCTCCGTTCCACAATTCATTTTAGCTTTGTCCTATGTAAAATTTCTCTAGCTTTGACCAAGCTTTAGAAAATATTTTAACATATACATGTTCAAATAAATGCACTATTGAGATATTTTAACATCTCTATTTAGGCGGCAGTGTTGTTGACTATCAACCATGAAATGTATGAACTCTTTTTTGAGGATGAATCCAGGTAGTTGCATAAAACTAATAACTATTTTTTTGTTTGTTTGGAAAGGGCACATTGCCATTGGAAATGGATATTCTACTTCACTCCTCGACGAATTTTTCTAGTTCTCCAAATAGTCTTTACCTTGTGAATTTGATTTGAATGGGTTTATGACATTTGCATCTCTTAAAAAACATGTACGCATGTCTATCATATTGGCATTCAACTTATATTTTTTGTCGTGCTCTGAATAAATAATTTCCAGCAGAGAACATTTTTGTTCCAACACTATCCATATTACATTGTTATGGATGTGGGAATGTGCTAGACTACTTTACTCGCTTTGTTCGTGTGCTATCTGGCAGGGCAGTTGTAATATAAAGAATGAGAAAAGGGGGAGGAGAAAGGGTACAAGGGAGAGAGAGACAAATGAGAATAGCATAAATAAACTCAAGCCAATCAATTTAGATTATAATGTCATACAAATCTTGCAATAGAATCATCATGTTTCCGACAATTATGCTAACTTTTTATTTTCATATGATATATGAATTGACTTCTCGAAAGTTTCATCATTACTATATCATTATTGATCGATTATGAAGAGTTTTATCAATAGACATGTATATTTCTACTAGTTAAAAAAACAGAGATAGAAATTGATAGACATAGAATATACATATGTTGCGCAAACAGGCCTGCATTGAGCTCAAAGCTAGGAAAACTTCCTCAAAGCAGGCAGTAGTGAGTATACATTTCCAAATGGAATACATATTTTATATTTTAAAATGTGAGGAGATAGTTATTATTGTACTACAACTTTGAATAGCGATTGCAAGCAGTAGCTCAGCCCGAACAAACCGAAGTAGCGGGGAGTAATGAAGGAAGTGATTGTAGGCAGCAGCTGAGCCCCTTTTATGGCAGAGTGGTTGATGAAATGGGAGGCGATGAAATGGGAGAGGAACGCTCTCCAGACGGGAGTGGAGATAGAAGAAGGGGAAGGGAGTGGAGACAGAAAAAAGCGGACCACCCGACTTTGGACGTCCCCTGCCACCAACACCGTACTGGCCAACCGCTGTCCTCCGCCACCCGCGGCCGGCGGCGCCGCCTTGCTGTTCCGCTTCGGCCCACCCACCATCAAGTAGAGCCCCTGCGACGGAAGCTGACGCTCAGAAGCAGCCGATTCCGCGATGGAGGTGGCTGTCATCGGAAGGTTCTTGTATAACACTACAGTTATTGATATAATGATTTCTCAAAAGTATATATATATAAACATGTTGGCCCCATGTCAAAAAATGTGCCCTAGAATTAAAAGTTTCGCATTCATATCTAAAAATTTTAGTGAAGTTGATTAAAATTTGTTGAAGATGATTTAGTGTGACAACTAGCTACTCTGTGTGTTGGTTAGTGACCGAACATGAGTGGAGAGAAAGAGAGAACCAAAATAAGTGAAAAGCAAGAGTTCGCCACCACCTTATCCTTCTCCCCTTTTATAGGGAAGGTGAAAGGGGAGGTTTTTATTATTTCCCCTGGTAGGGCATGTATTCTACAATAGAGTCTCTAGGGGATACAAATGAGTCCTAAATATTATCTTACAAGCCCTTAAGCATTGTAATTAGGCCCCCAAAACACCAATGGGTCCCTAACATATAATACACCCCCTAACACTGTATATTGGTGTGGTATATATAATTATGGGTCCCACACCAAAAGTTCAACCTAGAATTAAAAACCTTGTTTTCACTCCTTAAAATTTTAGCGAAACTAATTGAAATTTATTTAAAAGGACTCAGTATAACAATTAGCTACTATGCTTATTTAGTGCGGCAATATCAACATGTGGGCCCTTCAGAGATATCCAATGGACATTATATTGGCTTTTTGAGTTTCTCTCCAATGAATTATGGGCATTATTGGATCACATGGGATAGATATCCAAATTCAAATGGACCTTATCCAAGCATATCTGAAGTAACATATGTCCAATAAGATTTTGGATGATCCAAATTCACTACCACCTACAAATAATAGTAAAATCTCAACATCCACGATGCTTTCTTATTATAATGACTACATGCATAGTAAAAGCAAATATGCTACTGGTATATCGGTCCATTACTTAGCTTTCCATTAGTGTACATTGGACCAAGTAAGGTGGTTTTGTTCAACTGAACGTACCTTAGCTGGTTAGATTCTTTGTCGTAGAACTTATAGATCAAGGTTCAAATCATTGACTTGATGCAGATGCTCACAGTTTTTTTCGGACTTCAATGATTTAATGCTGATATTTTTTCAATGTTACACGACATGCTTGACTATACGGTGACTTCACCAATCTTGATACATGGTTCCAAAAAACCTAGTGTAATAGGAGTCAATGGCATGTCTTTGTTATGTTGCATTCTTTATGTCATCTGTTAGGATACTCGATATGATGCCGGCTACCACTTGACATCATTATGCTTTGTAGCATCCTTAGTGTCGATACATTTTGACCTCACATTAAATCATCCACTCTCTCTATTTTTATGGAATAATATCCTTGGATAGATAGACACAAGCCCTTGTATTTTTTTCTCCATATAGATACATCATTGTTCTCTTGTGTTGGGTTTGTTATGTTTTAATGTAAAAACATTAAATTTAAATATGACGTATGTATGTGGATGGCTTTATGTTTATCTCTTTTTTATCAGCTTCACGTGTTCCTTAACAATGGTATGAGTGTTAGCATGCATCCATGCACTGCTTTAGTGCTGATCCAGTCCTGCGGTTAGTGCTGATCCAGTCCTGCGGTCATCCTTGCCTGTAGCTCTCTGAGTGGTGATCGCATTCCGCTGCCCCCCTTGCTTGTAGCTTGCTAGTCAGCCCATCCACAGCTTGTACTCGTGTATATGTATCTGTAACATCAGTAATACAAGTGCGGTTCGAACCATTCTTGTTCTTACAATAAGTCGGTACTAGCTGACCAGGTATAAAGGAATTTGGCTAAATCTGGAATGACAAAATTTATCAACATGTCTATGGGCACATTGATTTTTATTTCCTCCGATTAATGTGGAACTGTCCCAAAATGATATGCGTATTTTTATAGCGAAAAGTCAATTTTATAATTTGACCAACAATTAGTCAATGTATATACAAGTTTAGGACATAAAACTTGCATTAGTAGATTAGTATTCAAACTTCCTCTAAGATGATATTGATTCTTTAGCAAATAACAACAAATTGTAAGAGAAATTAAAGGTTAAAATCTATTTTACATTATTTTTTTCTTATCAAAGTATGTTTATTAACTTTAGACAGAGAGAGTAATTTATACTTGGGAATTAACGTGGAGGCACTATATCACGGGACTAGTATGATTGTACGAGAGTACCGATTTTTATGCGTCACTAGATTCATGCATGTGTTATTATTCAGCCCGTTCGTTTGGCTGTCACTTATCGTAAACGATCGTAAATTTTCAGCCGGAACAGTATTTTTCTCTCACACAAACCAGCCAGCAGTACTTCTTCACGAACCAGCAACGAAACGAACCAGCCAACCGAACAGGCTGATTATGGGCGGCGGGCATCACATTTGTTGGTGATTAACCGAGATGCTGATATATGAATTAGTTCCACTTATTAGATGGAGTTCAGATGCTATCCATTTACCTTTTGACTTGGTTACGATCCCATCCACGTGGACCTATTCTCTCTCTTGCTCTCTTATCCAGTTTGCTCTCAATGGCGATTGGTTGTGACTGTGTCGTACTAAGGTTTGTTTGCATGCCCAACTAAACTCCTAACCGTGTGTCCGGCCGGTCTCCCTACAAGTAGCTCACTTGTTCTCTTCTCCTGTGCTCCAAATTATTATACGGATAAGAGAGATTAGGTGCAGAGTCTGGAAGTCCTAATTCAACTAGCAGCTATATCGATCGTAGTGAATTAGTCACCTGCTTGCCGTAGAAATGAGGACGGCGGCGGACATGGCGGCGGCGCTGTTGCTTGTGGCGGTTCTGCTGCACTGCACGGGCACTGCGATGGTGCGGGCGTCGCACGCCGTGTATCCGGAGCTCCAGTCGTTGGAGGCGGAGAAGGTTGATGAGACGTCGCGCACCGGGTACCACTTCCAGCCTCCTAAGCACTGGATCAACGGTACGTACATGTGTGTATATGATCATTTGTTTTCCTTAGCTTTTGCATATCAATTGTTGATTATGAAATCTAATGTCACTGATCTGTGTCTTTGTTTTTTTTATCTTGCCTTCTCGTCATCATGGCGTACATAAATCTAGATCCAAATGGTACGTAGACGTGTACATTCATCGACCCCTCCTCGTATTCAATTCACGGGTAAATAAATTAGTTAACAAGTGTATAAATGCAGGACCAATGTACTACAAAGGGTTGTACCATCTGTTCTACCAGTACAACCCCAAGGGCGCGGTGTGGGGCAACATCGTGTGGGCGCACTCGGTCTCAACCGACCTGATCGACTGGACGGCGTTGGACCCGGGGATCTACCCGTCCAAGAAGTTCGACATCAAGGGCTGCTGGTCAGGCTCCGCCACCGTGCTGCCCAGCGGCGTGCCGGTGGTGATGTACACGGGCATCGACCCCGACGAGCACCAGGTGCAGAACGTGGCGTACCCCAAGAACCTCTCCGACCCGTTCCTCCGCGAGTGGGTGAAGCCCGACTACAACCCCATCATCGCCCCCGACAACGGCATCAACGCCAGCGCCTTCCGCGACCCGACCACCGCCTGGTACGGACCCGACCGGCACTGGCGCCTGCTGGTGGGCAGCAAGGTGGACGACAAGGGCCTGGCCGTGCTGTACCGGAGCCGGGACTTCAAGCGCTGGGTGAAGGCGCACCACCCACTCCACTCCGGCCTCACGGGGATGTGGGAGTGCCCGGACTTCTTCCCCGTGGCGGTGCACGGCGGCAGCCGCGGCCACCACCGGCGCGGCGTGGACACCGCCGAACTGCACGACAGGACCCTGGCCGAGGAGGTCAAGTACGTGCTCAAGGTGAGCCTGGACCTGACAAGGTACGAGTACTACACGGTGGGCACGTACGACCACGCCACGGACCGGTACACTCCCGACGCCGGCTTCCGCGACAACGACTACGGCCTCCGGTACGACTACGGCGACTTCTACGCGTCCAAGTCGTTCTACGATCCGGTGAAGCGCCGCCGCATCCTGTGGGGCTGGGCCAACGAATCGGACACCGTCCCCGATGACCGCAGAAAGGGCTGGGCCGGCATTCAGGTATGTAATGTAACCGACGTACGTACGTGTCAATAACCGCCACTGATTGATACGTATAACCGACGGCACCGAAAACGCAGGCGATACCGAGGAAGCTGTGGCTGTCGCCGCGCGGGAAGCAGCTGATCCAGTGGCCGGTGGAGGAGGTCAAGGCGCTGCGCGCGAAGCACGTGAACGTCAGTGACAAGGTCGTCAAGGGCGGGCAGTACTTCGAGGTCACCGGCTTCAAGTCCGTGCAGGTAGGATCGTGCATGCATGCGCCGCCGCCGCTGCATCGTCCATCGTCCATTTGTCTGTCACGCATGCCTGCCTCTGCTTGATTGATGATGGATGATGCATGCATTTCAGTCGGACGTGGAGGTGTCGTTCGCGATCGACGACCTGAGCAAGGCGGAGCAGTTCAACCCCAAGTGGCTGACGGACCCGCAAGCGCTGTGCAAGAAGCGAGGCGCCCGGCAGACGGGCGAGGTGGGGCCGTTCGGGCTGTGGGTGCTGGCCGCCGGCGACCTCACCGAGAGGACGGCCGTCTTCTTCAGGGTGTTCAGGACCAACAGCAACGGCAGCAGGCTCGTCGTCCTCATGTGCAACGACCCTACAAACTCCACGTTCGAGGCGCAGGTCTACAGGCCCACCTTCGCCAGCTTCGTCAACGTCGACATCGCCAAAACCAAGGCGATCGCACTGAGGACACTGGTATATATGTTCTAGTAGCTAGCTAGTACACGTTCATGCATGCTCTCATCATATACTACTGTATGTTGGCAACCCCGTACCATAGAACGACGTTGATGATGAACGCATGCATGGCAATGGCATGCAGATCGACCACTCCGTGGTGGAGAGCTTCGGGGCCGGCGGCAGGACGTGCATCCTGACGAGGGTGTACCCGAAGAAGGCCCTGGGCGACAACGCGCACCTCTTTGTCTTCAACCACGGCGAGGTGGACGTCAAGGTCACGAAGCTGGACGCCTGGGAGATGAAGACCCCGAAGATGAACGCGCCGGCGCAGTAGCACGACGTGACGATCGCTCCAGGGACTAGCTATAGGCGTAGTGTTACTGAACGGTATGAAGAATATGCATGATCGATCATCAGAGCTTTTAGGAAATGGTCTGGTTTTGTTAGAGAAACGGTCACGTCGTCACCTCATCAGATTGTATGTTCTCTCCATTTCATTGCAACGAGTCGCAGCACTCGGTGTATCAAAGTTTTGCTGATCAGGAATGAATAAAAAGTTTAGTGTGTGGGGCAGTTATGGCTTGTTTCAGTAGTGTATGTTTCTCGTTTTCCTTAAAGAGCAGTTAGTTATGACTGTTCGATAGAGTGTAACAAAGGTGCAGCCGCAAGCTAGCTAGTCAAGGCCATGCATAGTCGATGTATATCTCGTAGGATCCATAAGTTCTGTTAGTCAAGATCCTCACAAATATGTGGCTGCATGCTAGTCATATGGATCAGGTTTATGTTAGACTAGATCCTATCAAATGTGTGGTCGCATGTTAGCGCAAGCATCATGTTAATTAAGTTGACTTCTATGTAAGCCACGCGAATGAGTTGACTCCAATCTCTTCCTCGCAATCCAATTAACACGCAACACTCTCGCAATCCAATTAACACGCAACACTCTCGCAATCCAATTAACGCGCAACTCACCGGTGACCCAAGATCGGGCACAGGTGCTTCCCCTATGTGCCTCTGATTTTTGCCTCTGTATTTAGATTGCACAGTTGTGATCCAACAACCACACAGCACAGCAGTGTGCAAGTACAGGAACCTGTCAAAATTAATGCCGGGCAATAAAAGGTCGTACTCAGTGCTGAGAGCTCCCGGGGTCTGGTGAAGGGTGTCTGTGCGAGGTTAAAATTAATGCCGGGTAATAGTTCTCTCAAAAAATTGACGAATGCTGATTAGTTAGTGGCCATGTCTAATGTTTTGCTGATCGGAAAACAAACACACACACACACACACACACACACATATATATATATATATATATATATATATATATATATATATATATATATATATATATATATATAGAGTATATTCAGTAGCCAGCTACAAAATAAGTTATTCTGTAGCCATCTCCATTTACGATAATTTTATATACTAATTTACGATAATGTTAATACATATTTACGATAGTTGGGTTATTATAACACGTGGGGATATTACCATAACATTATAGTAAACCACTTAGCAAGGAGTTACTATAATCTCGTAAATTAACATAGTAATTATCGTAACTCACAGTGTGGCTACAGAATAATTTATTTTGTAGCCAACTACAGGGTAGTAGTTCTCTCTCTATATATATATATATATATAGACACACATACTTATGTGTAGCAGTGCATATACTAAGTGCGAGTCCAAGTTCATATTTCAGTGAGATTCCATAATGTGAACTGAGCAGGCACGACATATGCAGGCATGCTGCACGGGATATATAACAGTAGTGTACTCATGGTCAAAGAGAGAGCAATACAAAAGGCAACAGACCAAGGACTTCTAAGTCCCATTGGGGCCGACCCCATTCGTATAAGAACTAGCTTGTATGCTGATGATGCTGCCCTTTTCATTCGCCCTCTCGTGCAAGACCTAAACAATCTGCAGCCGATCCTAAGAGCATTTGGGGAGGCGACGGGCTTGCAAACCAACATATCGAAATCCGAGCTGTATGGAATAAATTGTGAGATCAACGGAACTGAAATTGCTGCAGCTTTTCAAGGGAAACCTTGTCAGCTCCCTTGCAAATACCTTGGACTCCCTCTGCATATTGGAAGATTGAGGAGAGAGGAAGAACAAGTGCTCATTGACAAGGTGGGTGCCAAACTGCAAGGTTGGAAAGGACGGCTGCTGACTAAGGCTGGGAGACTAACACTAATCCAATCAGTACTTTCTTCAATCCCGACGTACCATATGACGGCCTTCCCTCTTTCAAAGTGGGCAATCAAAAAAATTGACAGATTAAGAAGAAATTTCCTCTGGAAGGGAGCAGATGAATTGCCTGCTAAATTGGCGGAGAGTAATGAGATCAAAATCCAGGGGAGGACTAGGCATAAAGGACTTGGCGTGTTTCAACAGAGCGTTGCGTCTCAGATGGATGTGGTACAAATGGACAGCTCCAGAAAAACCTTGGAATGGACTAGCCATCAAAATGAGTGACATAGAGGAGAGTTTGTTCAGGTGCTGCACGACAATCACGCTAGGTAACGGGGAAAGGGCAAGATTTTGGAAAGACAACTGGCTAAATCGGAAGGCACCTATGGAGAATTGGAGATTGCCCCAGCGTGTTTCAGGCTTGTTCGGCGTAAGAACCAGTCTGTCGCCTTAGCACTGCAGGGACGACGGTGGATGCGGGGACTTCAACGAATGAAACAGAAGACCAACTCCGTCAGTTCATTGAACCCTGGAGCCAGCTACAAGGGATCCAACTACAGGAAAACGAGGACACCATCTCCTGGCGATTTGAACCTTCAGGACAATTTTCAGCAAGGTCAGCGTATAATGTGCAGTTTATCGGGGCCTTCCCAGATCAAAATTGGAGCAAGATATGGAAACTTAAAGTAGAGCCAAAGTGCCGAATCTTTGTTTGGCTGCTGCTCCAGTCCAAATTACCAACGGCAGATCGAATCATCAAAAGAGGACAGGCAGACCCAATATGCAAATTGTGTCATTGCACACAGGAAACTCATTTGCACATGATGGCCACATGCAGTTATGCCAAAACCATATGTTGAGGCAGGTGGAGCTCTCACATAATGAGCAAGGTTTGTCAGTCACCAGGAGGAACATCAGAGAGTGGTGGAGGCAAATCACCAAAACACAAGGGCAAGTAGACCATGAGCAACGAGCAAGGTTGATAACATACACTGCCTGGAATCTATGGAAGGAAAGATGCAGGCGAGGCGAGTCTTCGACAACAAGGCGTGCACCATGCAGGAAATCATTCAACAGATTGCCAATGATGTACATATGCTGCAGATGGCTCAAGAAGAGTATTGATAGCTAGTTACTATATTATGCAGTTTTCTCTTTACTTTTTCATCAACCATTTGTAAATATCCAAACTTTGCTTCCTACTGAATGAAAAGGCAATGCACCTGCCAATTATGTTCAAAAAAAAGAAAGAGAGAGCGATGAGAACACGACACATGCAGCAGCTAGCACCCGATCGAATGGAAAGAAGCGGTTCAGAGCAAAGCCCGATCGATGATGAGGCCACCTGATGTCATCCGCCCGTGTCCAGCACACCATCATCGAGGAACAGCGGATCAGAGCAAGGCCAAAGGTTGGTCCCGCTCCACTGTGCTTGTTGTGTACTCAGTCACGACACGACCAAACGGCCGGCCTCATATCTCTGGCGCTCCATTTCCATCGGGCACTCGGGCACCGCACGTACAGTAGCCGCGAGATCGGATGGGCTATGGCCGGCTCCTAGTGGCAGTCCCCACCGCTCTCCAGCATCGTGCTCAGGGCAGGCCTGCTATACCCAATTCCGGCATGTCTGCAAGTGTACGCACGCCACGCCAAAACAATTGCCAACCGTCCGTCCGGCCTGGGGCAGTGGAGCGGCGCAGGCCGAGCCGGCGGACGCCAAAATAGGATGCGGCTAGCTAGCGAGTGGACAGTGGACCACGGCCGGCGGCAACGAGTCACCGCCGACGCGACAGTCCACAGACGGCGCCAGTAGTTGGGATCGAGCTCGATCGGGCTGGGATTGGAATCGATCGGCCGGCCGGGTGGTGCCCGCCAGCTCGAAGATGCTCGTCGTACACCACTCATAGGCCGGCGGCGTCCGGCGAGTAGGTGAACCAGCGCTCAGTAGTGGCACGCGGACGGCGCCCGGTTGCTGCTCGTGCGAAATGGAGGCAATGATTTGGTCTCTCCGAGGAAACGAGCGGGCCGCGACGCGAGATCCGGTTTGGCCTCCCTCGCCCCTCGGTGGAGTTTGCGGCGGCTGTGACGGTGCGACCGACGCTGCAATCATGCGATGCGACGACCTCGGTGCTCTCTCAAGAGATGGCAAGGTACTGCCCCGACTTTGCCCTGCTCTCTCCTCCTGCCTGCCTTATTGGGACGGCCAAATGGGCAATGCCAAACCTGCATGTTGTTCAGTTGGTTGGTGATACTGATAGTCCACTCGATCGGGTCCCTGCGGCCCTGCCGTCCTTTCCGAGGTGCAGCATGCGCCGACCGGGACAGCACCGACCGACGAGACGAGACGGTGCACGGCTAGTGGGGTTTCAACGTGTCGAGAAGCAGCCCAAGCAGGCACAGAGGCGCACATCCGCACAAGCACAAGGCGCGGAGAGCCGTAAACGTTTCGCGTTTTGCTCTGTACGTATCTTTTCTTGTGGAGAGGGAAAAAAAAGTTCTCTTCACCTCTTCAGTTCTTCACCTTTCGTGTTGATTTTCCCTCCTCCTTCATAAACTAGATTCCTATCGTCTCTTAATTTGTAAAACGTTGATAACAGGGGCGGATCCAGCAGGGGGGGGGGGCTCAAGCCCCCTACCCATACCCAAACAGTGCAAATTCTGTAGAGCATCTATGAGTTTTTAGGCAAAGTTTTATAACAGAGGGGTTGAGACTTAAGATCGAGCAGCAGTGTTGTTCAGCCCCCCCTAAAATATTTCCTGGATCCGCCGCTGGTTGATAACGTTATAAACTAGATTTCTATCTGTTCTTTTGACATTTGTTTTACACATTTATTTATGGCTTTAAACAGCCAACTATAAAGCGATAAATCGAACTTCACTGATAATCTGAGGAGTAAATTGAACTATAAAACATTCGAAAACTTATCTATTATTTTCTTGAGAATCTTATGCAAATTGCTTGATCCTAAAATCTGGTTTGATCATAGAAGAATTTGTGTTTTACATGTTTCCAATTTTGAACAGTTGTTTTGTCTAACACACGTCAACTATAATGTAAATCGAAATTGGTTGATAATTCGAGTAAATTGAACTATTAAAGATATAAAACTTACCTATTTTTTTCTTGAAAAT